ACTATGGACTCTGAGAAACAAACTGAGGGTTCTAGAGGGGAGGGGCATGGGGGGGATGGGTTAGCCCGGTGATGGGTATTAAAGAGGGCACGTTCTGCATGGAGCACAGGGTGTTATATGCAAACAATGAATCACGGAACACTACGTCAAAAACTAATGATGTAATGTATGGTGATTAACATAACATAATAAAAAAAAGAGTGCAATGAAGAAAAAGGGGGGGAAGTTACTGAGGTCTTTCATTCATACGAAGTTTTAAAATCTGGAATGTGTTTGCACCCACAGTACATCTCAATTCAGACAAGTCACATTTCAAGTGCTCAATAGCCACATGTGGCTAGGAGCTATCATACTGGGCAGTACAGAAAAGCAGCAATTATCTATACGTGAAATATATTCTTAAAATATGTTTTTACCATCCTCACTTCAATGAAGCAGGAATATGATGCCCATTTATAACCCTAAAAACAAGTATTCACATAGCTATTGTATACAGCAGCACCAAAATAATCATTAATTATTGCAATAATTTTTTCAACTATAATCTTCTAGCACACTTACAAAATGGCAAGAGGTTTCAACTTCAAAGTGTCTGTTCAGATCAAAGAAAACTATATTAATTTGTACATAGTGAATTATTCATTGAAAAAATAAAACTACTATAGTATTAAAAAATGAAGTATGATAAATATATTTAAATTACAAAACAGTGATCTTTTCAATACTAATAAAATTATAAAGCAAAGAATTATCCAAAATATACCAACAGGAAAAGCTCTCACCATTCAGAATATCGCAAAATCCTAATTAAGATTATTGTGAAAGTTATAAATACATTTTAAGTTGTCTGAAGTTACTCAACATTTAAACCTCTATTCCACAAAACCATTTTTATGATAATGTGCTATTGAAGCATCATGGAAAATCAAGAAAAATACCATAGGTAATATAAGATATAAATTATTAATTAGGAAAGAGATCAAAGATACCAATAATAGTTTATATTATAGAAATCACTAGCTCATTTGAAAATATTAATGAACAGGTTCACTATTCTCCATTCTGTTAAATACAGTTTATTATAAATAGTGGAGAATAAGAATGTATGGAATGTGAAAGGATAGGCAGAAAAATAAGGACATGTGAAGAATTTCTATAAAAAGAAGAATCACAGGGGCACCTGGGTGACTCAGTTGGTTAAGCGTCTGCCTTCGGCTCAGGTCATGATCCCAGTCAGGCTCCCTGTTCAGCAGGGAGTCTGCTTCTCCCTCTTCCTCTGCCCCTCCCGCCAGCTTGTTCTCTCTCTCTCTCTCAAATAAATATTAAAAAAAAATCACAAACTTGATTTTAAAAATAATATAACTCACTTTCTTGTAGTATGAATAAGATGGTTTTTAAAGTAAAGATGGTTTTAATACTATGTTTTCATAAAATTTTGTAGGACCTCAAACATGCTCATAATACAGTCAGGGTTGAAAATATTCTTACTTACCTGTGGGGTTTACATTCAGTATTTGCTCATTTTCTATATCCATTGTTCTTTAATGTCACTTGCACTGATTAAATTACTAATGGAAGTCTTCCCTTGGAATCTATTTCCTTAAAAAGAAAAAAGTTTCAGTATCTTCCAAACTGACATAATTAAGGTAAATTGAATTTACTTAATCACTGTAAAAAAAAAAATCAGCACATAATTTCATTTTTCAAAAAAGAGCTCTCTTTACTTTGAAAAATAGTTTACCACTATTAACATTTGGTTTCAATCTTCCTGACAAATGTATCTGGGTCCAAAAAAAAAAAAAAATACCCATGTTTCTGAATGTGCCAAAGCACCCCTTTAACTTGGAAGTAAAAGATGTATAAACATATACGTGTTTATTTCAAATTAAAGCAGTATATACATACTCCAAATTTTTTAGGACTACCAGGACTCATAATTAATCTGATGTACATAATACTGGATAGTTCACTACCAATGAATTGTAAGAACTACTACAAAATGCAAGCAACAGTTTTAATCAAGCCTATCACATGACTGTGTTAATTTTTCACACTACATCATATCTGAAGGCAGACAGGTCTGCCATTTTATCAACTACGTGTCCATAATTACAGTTAGAAGACTTTGAGATTTGGAGAAATTTTTATAAATGGTGTTTTCTACAATGAGAGTATTATTTTCATAATCTGAAAAACCCATTCTTTTTTTAGTTTAAAAAAAAATATTTTTTAAGATTTTATATGTAAGTAATCTCTACACCCAATATGGGGCTCAAATTTACAACCCTGAGATCAGGAGTTGCATCCTCTACAGACTGAGCCAGCCAGGTGCCTCCCCCATTCTCTTAAAAATATATAATAAAAGAAACAAAGCCCTCGCCTTTAAAAAAGAAATAAGTACAATGGCATTAACATCTCAGTATTATAGACCTCAGTTTCAAAATGGCTTAAAAATTATCAATGCTGAAGGCTTTGATGAAATCTTATTTAACTTAGTGATATAAATCTAACGTTACTTGAAAGACTATCAAAATATATTTTGATGAAAACTTTTACCAGAAGGTGTAACCAAATGATTTTAGAATCTCTCTGTAAATATTTTTAAAATAGTACTTAAGCACTGATCTGTTCAAGTCATACAGGTTAGATATAAGCCCTCCCAATCACTTACAATCATTTCACTAGCAGTGTGCTTTCAAGATATAAAATGAACAAATTAATGAAAATTTAACCATAATATATATGATGCCTCCTGGGACTCAACTGACTTTTTTTTTTTTAAAGTAAACTCTACACCCAATGTGGGCTCAAACTTATGACTAGGAGATTGAGTCACATGCTCCACAGACTGAGCCAGCCAGGCGACCCTCAACTAACTTTTAAATTCCTTAATATAAACTATTCTAACATCTTAAAAGTTTGTAGTCCTTTGATCCAGAAAAAGGTATTATTTTGTAGAACAAAAATAAACACACCTTAATGCTACAATGATAAACTTCTTAATATGGCATAATCCTTAGGCTACCAGGATGCTATCATACCACTTAAGAAATTAAGAAAATGGTGAGACCACTCTCCAATTCTACTCAGAATAAACAGACTTAAGTGATTCTATATGATTTTTCAATATCATAATTTCCACCAACTCTGGATTTAGGGGAGAAAAAATGACCCTTAAAGATATGTATATAGAAATTCATATAAATATATAAACAAAAATGTTTACAAACCTAAGCATTTAGTGTTCTCCATGTCTGAAAATGCCATGTTTCATTTTATATGAGTTACATGTTATAGGAAAGTGAAAATGTCTTATGATGTGTGTATGAGCTTTTTAAACTAGAGTTACATTAAAAAGTCTTTTTCATACTTGATGCAAGTAGAATCTTTGAGAGAATACTTTCTGCAGAACCTAGCTACTAAAGGAAATGAAATTATTATAACTGATGCTTATAAGGCCTTTTATAATTCACAGAGAATTTTACAGGCATTATTTCATGTACCCCTCAGAACAATCTTGAGCTATTTACTCCACTTTGCACACAACTAAACAAATTCAGAGAAGGTAGGTGATCTGTCCAAAGAGAGACAGCTGCTCAACGGAAGAACCAGAACCCAGACCTTCTCAATCCAGGACTGCTTGCACAAGTTCAATCCGAGATTTTAATATCCCACAAGAAGATTCTTTTTTAGGGCTAACAGAAGCTTATTAAAACACAGACTCTTATTGTTGTATCAAATCTTTAAATACTACTTTCCAAACACCAAAAATAATATTTATTTTAAACTATTACACAAAAGACATTCAGTTGGGCAAAGAAAATTATTAGGTATGACTCTCATCTATAACTTACCATATTTGTTTTTATTAAGTAATCCTAACTAGGGGGAAAAAAAAAAAAGCCTTGTCTGTGTCTTTAGGCAATGATAACGCAATCAAGAACTCAGTCACACTTGATAGGAACACAGACATTTTAAGAATTCAGAGAAAGATAAAGATACATTGCATGTTTTTCCTCTCTTCAAAGTAGTGGAGCTTTTTTCCAGTTTACTTAACAATCCATAAGATTTTTGCCCCAAACTTAGCAAAAACATAAAGCAAAAATTCTAAACGCCACATCCTTAAAACTAAACAATAAAATTAATTCTCAATAAGAAAGCAAAAGTATACACAGAAGTTTGACAAAATTAAGGCTAACATTAAAGTTTTCATTTCTTCAATGTGTTTTACAGAAACATACAATCAGAAGTATTCAAATGTCATGACAGTCCCCAAGAGATAGAGCCTCACCTTCCCACCCTCCCCCCACCCCCCCAAAAAAATCTGTTTCCTGAAATATACCTCATAAACCACTCTGAGTTTCAGGAGTCAAGTTTAGACCATATGCTAACCAGAAAATTATTTGTATTCATTCCAGGGCTACAATCACAGCTAATTAGCAACTTAAAATAAAATCAGCTAAAAATATTCAACCACAATGATGCAAAATCAAGCAGTACAGAAAATATCAAATTGTCATTTATTTTTGCACTCCCAGCAACTATTTTTCCTTTCTCATGACTACAACAGAAGAACCAATCAAAATATAACTCCAAGATCCCTGATGAGATAGTAAGCGATTTAAGAAACCTACAATGAAGGAAGGTTAAGGACATAAATACCAGTAATTAAATTTAGAACGCATCTGCAGTGCTCCCCTTTTAGAAAAGTATACGGTGGTTTCTAAAAAAATTACATTAGTAAGAATGCCAAAATTCTAAAACTTAGCAGTAAAAATACAAGTAAAAACAGGCGGTGACTTTTTTTTTTTTTCACACGACGCTACATTTTTGATCGTTTTAATCATTGCAGATACTGCACAGTTGCTGGTTACATAGCCAGTTCTCACAAGGCATGGGAGCCAGGAGATACTGACTTCTGCAGACAGTTTTCGAAGCTCTGGGGGGAGGGGCCCGGGGGAGGGGGGACACACGACCCCTCTTCACGTACACTGCAGCACCAAACTGACGAATGCAGCAGAAACGGCCGGCCTGCGTTTCACAGAAAGAGGGCTCCCTTCCTGTCTTTGTTTTCTCTGGGAGATTTTCACTTAAACTAAAAAAGCGACCCTTCGCCCGAAGTCCGCGCAGGGCCGGGGAGGCGGGCAAGTGTCCGCCTCCGAGCGGCCCCTCCCGCAGCGGCGGGCCTTCCTCTCCGCAGCGGGCGCAGGCCGGGACCCCGCGGGCCCCAGTCCAGGCCGGCCCCGGGGGATGCTGGACTGGAGCGGCCGGGCCTGGGCTCCAGAGCGCGGGCCGGGGACCCCCAGGGAGGCCACGGGGGCGGGGAGGGCGCGAACCTTCCTCACAGGATTTCAGTCAGGCCAGAAACACGCCTCCCAACGTCCCCCCTCAAAAATGAAAACTCGGCCTTCGCGGGGATGAGGGGCAGCCCCTCGCTGGCTAGCGCCCCGCACACCCGGTTAAGCGGGGAGAGGGTCCGGGAGGGGGCAGGCCGGCGCCGCCGCGCTCCGGGCCTCGGCCCGGGAGGGAACCGGGGCCCGCCCTCCGCAGCCCGGGGCGTTGGGGCGCCCGCGGCCCTGCTTGCGGGGCTCGGAGGAGGAGGCCGGACCCCCGCCCCCCCGACCCGGCCGCGGCCTCAGGCCCCCACCCCCTCCCAACGTGCGGCGGCCTCCGAGGAGAGACGGGGCTGAGGGAGAGAGCGCAGTCGTTCCGAGCGTGCGAGCCGCCTCACTGGTACTGACCCCTCGGGCCGCCGCCGTCGCCGCTGCTCGCCCAGGTCCCTGGTCCGCCGGCCCAGACCCCACAGCTCAGCTTCTGCCGCCGCCTCAGAGCGTCTCTGCCCCCTCTCGCTCTGTTTGTTTTTGTTTTGTTCTACCCAGTAACACGGGGGCGAGAGAGCGGCGTTTATTGGCCGAAGCGAGGAGGCCCGCTGGCCAATCGTGGCGGTGGAGCGGAAGCTGAGGAGGAAAAAGGGAGGCAAGTGAAACGTGGAAAGCTGGGCAGGGGCGCCAGAAGGCGCAGGCGCGTCGGGCTCCTGGAACTGGCGGGAGTGGAAGCCGGGCGGGAAGCTAGGGGCGGGAGGTTGGGAGGTGCGGCAGGATACAAGCGTAGGCGACAGGGCAGTGCCTTGGAGTGAGGACCAGCCTGAGGCTGCCTTGACCTGCTCACCCATTCCTCTCCCAGGGCAGTCCGCAATCCCGGCTAAATGTTGAGCTTCTGGAGGGTCCCTGCCTCCATTTCCAGACGCTCGTCAGGCGAATACCCTTAATCTCTACGGTTGCTTCTCCCGCGGGCCTTGTTCACTCCTTGGTTCCTCCTGTGTACCCTAAGAACTTTATCTCAGTGAATGCCCTCATCCCTTGAAGATAGAAATCACTCCCATTTCACAGATGAGGAAATAAACGCTCAAAAACTCTGAAGTCCCTGTGCTAATCACGACTAGTTAGGCTCCTGGGATTCAAACTCCCACAGTCCCACTCCAAGACTGGGGTTCTCAATCATGGCTGTAACTTCTTTATTGAAACCTGTACCCCGCCTGGCTGTTGGTGTCTTTCCTCCTTGGCTGCATTCTCTTTGGCTTATCTTGTGCTCTCATTCTTCCTCCTTCCCTATCCCCTGAGGAAATGACCAGAACCTTCCACTGCCTGTGCTCTCAGGAAAGGATTCAGCCATTATCTCTGGCCAGATTTTCCGATTGTCTGACGTGCAACACCTGAATTGTCTGTTGGTCTTTCAGCAGCCAAACTGCCTCCTCCGCCACCAGGGAGCTCCTTCCCCGGACTTACCCCTTTCTGCCCAGTCACCCTGCCTGAGAGTCATCTCTAATGGTATTATTTCTCTGAATAACAACAACAACAACAACAACAACAACAAAACCCCTTTCAGTAGCTTCCCATTGCCTGCCTGGAGGATCAGCACCTCAGCCAGGCATTCAAGGCCCCACAGTGTGACTCTCTGGCCGTTCCGACTTTCAAGACTTTATGGCCATGTCTCCACAACCTCCCAATCCACACACCCCTTTGGCTGGAACCCACTTGGGCCTCTCACTGTTTCATATGCGTCCCCACCTCCTGAGGGTTCTTTACCATATCACCTTGAAATGCCTCTCTTATCCCCCATCTCTGCCTGGTACAATCCTGTCCGTGCTTCACGGCTCTCCTGCGCTGGCTTCCCTGAGCCTTCTGACTTCTGACTTGATGTAGAATTTCCTGTCTCCTGATTCCTCCCAGTAATGACTTGTAGCTCTGGGGACATTGAAACATTCTGCCTGGCATTATGTTATGAGTCCCTGTCCTAACTCTTCTCCCCGTTAAACTGTCACCTTGTTGAAGGCAAGACTTGTGTCTTACTCATCTGTTATCATTGTAGGTCTTAAGAAGATGCCTTGCACATTTCCTGTACTGGTGCAATAAAGATACTTTGATCTGAGTTCCCAAAGTTTCTCAGCATTTCCTGCTCATCCCCACCTCCTGGGCAAGAGCCTCTTGGCATGTCCAGCAGCTGAATTAGCCTTATGAGTCACTTTTACTTTTTAAAAACAAAGCTCCCTGGTCACTCAGTTTGGTTTTGTTTTTGTTTTCTCCATCACCTGCAGCTGTCTCCTTTCTTTTCTCTGCCGGGGCTCATCGATCCTCCACTGAGCAGTAACTGCTGGCTCCTTTATTTCACCCATCCGCCTTTCTCCACATTTTTCCTTTTCTCCCCCCTTTTCAGTTCTTGATTGTTTCCTTCTTCCTCCCTGCCACCAACCTCCTCTGACTTTTGCTGGGTTCTTTCATTTACTCATTCATTTAATACATTTATTAAACACCTATGGCATATGCAGGCTGCAACGGGCAAGCACCTGAAGATCTATGAGATAATAAAAGAGAGGGATATGATTACCCATATTTAAAAGCCCAGCTAAAACAACCTCAAGCTTTCAGCAAATTACCCCGAAAGAACCCATTATGGAGTAAAATGTTCATATCCTTTTTACCCATCATCTCTACACATGATGTTTGACATCCCGGGACCCACGTTAGAGAATGCCCCTCTAGCTGGGTTTGGTTGACCAGTTTGGACCAGACCCCCCCCCTAAAAAAAATGGGATTCTAGTCCTAGTTCCCCCACTAACTACCTGTAAGAACTTCTTCTTAGGCCCTACTTCAGGACCTCTGTTTTTTCACCAGTAAAATTCAAAAATTGGGTTTAATTACTAGTTCCCAAGGTATTTTCCAAAGAACATGAATTTTGTGGAACTTTAATAGATATCACGAAAAATATGTGGGAGGGACTGTTCCATAATCAAATCAACCTGGAAAGAAATTGTTTTAGTAAAGTTAAAGCTGGTTTTTGGGGGACCCCAACTCTTCTCAGTATTTTTAATAAGCTAATGAGCCTTGAGAATCTTGAGAGACCAGAGTAGGAAGCTAAGTAACACTCCCCAACCTATTTAAACACAGAGGTTTTTTTTCCCAAGATACCCCAGAGTCAGTGTTACTTAGAGACCAGTTTGGAAAATATAGATGACATCCACTATCATTAACATTCCTTCCAGGTGTACTAAACACTGGCCACCTGCACCTTTGCTAAACATTAAAAAATAAGAAGCTGAAAAATAGAAAAGTATCCAAGTACCAGGAATTTTTTGTCCATCAAATCAATCTGCAAATATTTATTATGTGCCAATTCTGTGAAAAACACAGAGCTGATCCAGCTGTGTTCTTGGCAAAAGGCATTATGTTCTACCTTACGGTAAGTAGTGTCTGAAGCATAGAGCTGCTCAGGCCTCTGGGCCACAAAGTGCACTTTCATTTCACATTTTAATTGCTCACAACCTGACTTTCTGTTTCCTAACGCCCTGTGCTTATGGGCTTATGATAATTTAGCTGTTGGATGAGAGAGAAGGAGGAAGCCCTTCATCTTAACTCATTCTATCCAGAATGATGGAAGCTCAACTTTTATTTTAAGAATGACCCATTCCAATTTAGGAGAGGATGGGCCACCACTGTTGCCTAGGATGAGACAGCTGTTCAGAGGTGGCAACAGAAACCGCACTGTGTGATCAGGTAGACATACATGATGTCTCTCCTCTTCCCCATACCCCACAGGTTTATTGATTCCTCGAGGGACACCAAGAGTGTTTAATTTGTTAGGGTATATGGGGGTGTGAGGGTGGAGGGTAGTTTCTAGTTTTTGCCTCTTAAGACAGGTTACTGACTGCGGCTCTAGCCAGCTATGTTGCCTTGGGAGTTTCACTTCCTCTCTGGGTGGATTGAATGCCTCAATCTTACACCATCAAAGGAGTTGGCCCCTGCAGGGAGTCTTTAAGGAGTCAATTCAGTTCTGACACCATGATGCTGGGCAAGGTGCTGGGAGGGCACAACCAGAGTCCTGGTAGTGGGGGACCAGAGATGAGACGGTTTGCCACTGGTGACGGAAGAACTAATCACCAGGCACGGACAGAGGAACTATCACTCTCAGCCCAGGGGCTTTCTCTGAATACAAAGCTTGGATAACCTCCCTTCCTGCCACCCCAAAGGCAATACTGAAGGCTGAGGTAGTGTTGGAAGTACTGATGAGTTAATGTCAGTCAAAGACTTGGAAATGCACAGATGCTAGGCAAAAGACAAGCACCTCAAATTACCATTATTGCCCTTGGAACTTCCAAGGCCTTTTCATTCTTTGGGCAAAGCCCCATCTGAGAACACAAGTTTGTTAATAAGCTCTGTTCATGCCCTTGCATAACATCGAGGAGAGGCCATCTCTCTCTGGGGACCGAGGGAAGCCTTAGCCCACTTCCTTAAGAAGAACTTTCAGATACCATTGTCGTTTGCAACATCTCCTTGAACTGACATCTGCCTCCTAGTTCATCAAACCAAGGACTGAATTTTAGGAATTCCTATAAGGCACTGGATTGCTCTTTAGCAGAAATGGTAGAAGACATGGAGAGAGTTTTGTAAAGAATTCTAATGATAATGTTGATAACTGACATTTGTACTGTGTTTTAAGGCTCACTGAGCTTTTCACATATACTTTTACCCCATCCCTACGAGTAGACAAGCAGATATTACTCTCCCTTTTTTAAAGATGAGGAAAATGGGGCTTGAGTGGGTCACTGGTAATCATAGGACTTTTATGATAAAGGAAAAGTGGGGATCCCTAGTCCAAACACTTCACTTACAAACAGAGACCCCAAGAACTTAAGTGAGTTGCTCAGAACCACGTAGCTAGTTAGCAGAGCCAGAGTGCGAATGAAGTCTCAGTGTCCCTTACACAGGCTAAGCCGGTCGCGGGTGGGGGGAGGGGTGTCCAGATCTAGTACCTAGGCCTCTACTGGAATCTTTCTGCCACTCAACTTTGAGTCTCTTGAATAAAAGTTAAATGTCTTAGCCATTTCTGGTCACCTCCTCTACTATTAGAGAAGTCCATCTAAGGCCCGAGAAGTGAGGAAGGAAGGGGAATTGTGGTAGGGGAGGCTTAGTATGATATTTAGAAGCTGTTGATGGGGACATTTTTCAAGAATCTCTTTCCTAGACTAAAAAACAGACAAATGTGAAGCATAGCACAAAGAAGTAGACGCAATATTTTTAAATAGTATGTACCAAGAAAAGCTAATAAGGTTTTACTTCCCCAATCCAAGTTTCGGGAAGTTTTCTTGGTGCATTTGTCTTTGTGTGCCCCCCACCCCCACCCTGGCACCAAATTGCTCCTGCCACCTTAAGATGTAGAAGCAAGCTAAATTGGGCTCAGGAGCTACAACAGATCATCTTTTCCCCAAAAGCCCATATATTTTGACACATCCCCAAACCCGGCCTGAGTTCTAAGCCTGTAAAAACTCCAGAATTTTGCAATCACAAGACCATTCAGCCAGCTGCTTTTCCAGTACTTCCTACAACTGTCACACCCTGCATTGAATTAATTGTGTTGAGTCAGTGTAGAGA